GGCACGTATACACAGACCTGAATTTTTATATATACCTTGTGTTTTCTAATCCTGCTAAATTCAAGTACAAGTTCTAGGGGCTCCTAGAGATTTCTCAGTATTTTCTCTGTAGATGATCATTTCATCTACATATAAAGATTTTGCTTCTGCTGTGCCAATCCTATCCTAGTTGTGTCACTTTATTGCCAGACTATTTTGGTTTGGGCCTGTGTTTCAAAGTCTAATGGACAGATGAAGAGTAGGCATATCTGCCCTTGTTCCCCACTTTAGGGAGAAAGCATTGTATCATCTCCATTCATAGAAGGAGTTTTTGTTGAAAGTATGGAGTACATGTCTTTGATCTGTTGAGAAGGTTCTGTTCTACTTCTAGTCTCCTGATAGCTTTTACCATGAACAGCTGTAGAATTTGCTCCAATACTTTTTCTCCAACTAGTGACAGGATCATATGGCTATTTCCTTTCCTCTGTTTAAATGATGACTTTTGGGGGTGGATCTTCCAATGCTGAACCAACACTGCCATCCCTATAACAAAACCACTTTCTACATCCTGCCAGATCTGCCTTCTAATAGTTTGTTTTGTTAAACAAATTTCTATCTCTGTTCATACTTTTTCTTCTATTATCTTTATCCAGGTTTAGGATTAGCACAATGTTGATTTCCTAAAATGAGGGGAGAAGTGTTCCTTCTTTTTTCTGCTTTAATTGTTTGATATAATTTATCAGTTAAAATGTTTATGAGCCTGCTGTTGTCATGTAGGTTTTCAAGCTAGGAATATACTTTCTTTAATAGGTGTTATTCAAATTTTATATTTCCTCCAGAGTTAGTTGCATTAATTTGTCTTCTAAGTTACTTCTTAGAAGTTGTCAAGTTTATTTCAAAACAGATTTTTGCAATATGCTTTCTATATCCTTTTAAATTCTGTAAAATCTGTGGTAATGTCTCCTAGATCTTAATATTGTAATTTAAAAAATGTATAACTGATATTGTGTAACAGGAAGAAAAGGCCTAAAAGAGCAGGGGAATTGGGAGGGGTAGGGGAAGGGAAAAAAGGGAAAGGAAAAAATTATGAGAAGAGGAAAAAAATGGAAACAAGATCTTTGCAAATAGGGAAGGGTGGAGGGGGTGAAGGGAGGGCAAGGGAAGGGGAAAAAAAATAAGAACCAAGTAATGGTACAAGATCCCAATGATGAATGTAACTGTATTGCATACCTAAAATGTACCAATAAAGTTAATGGGGAAAAATAAAATAAATAAATAAATAAATAAATAAATGTGTGTGTATGTGTCTAAGAAATATTTTATTTATAATAAATTATAAAATGAGCAATAAATAAAATTAAAACAAATAATATTTATGGGAATCTCATTCTGTTTAATAAATGCCTCCTCTATAGCATATCAAATAAGATAACAAAATATCAAAATATAAATATGTTTGTGTATATGCAAAGTGACAAAATGTAGACTATAAATAGCACTGATAAAATACGCAATTATATATATATCTATATATACATAGACAATGCTATAAGTAAAATTCAAAAACTTCTATTAGAGTGATAAATAATTTGTGACTATTTTTCAGTATTTATTTTTTGTTTTATTTCATCTGGTCAGATTTTCTATATTTACTTACTTAAAAAGAAGAAAAAAATGACTTGAACTGTCTGAAGTCTGTATTCATGTGGCTACCGTGTGGATCACACTTTAAATTATGTTCTTTTATCATTTTTTAAGTAGGTCTTTAAGACCTATTACAAAACATGTGCTCAGTAAGGGACTTTTGGGCCTCAAGATAATTCAAAATAAAAGCACTTAAGTGATCAGGGGCTTTCAAGGGGGGGGGGGATTTCCTTTTTCTGGTTTCTGATTATCTCAGAAAACGGTGATTTTTCTCCAATTGGCAATCCTGTTACAGGGGTTGGCTTTGAAAGCATTCCATAGCTGTCAGAGATTCCTTTGCAACTTTGGCACTTTTTACTCTAAGACGATCTACAACTAAATTACTTAGCCACTGTCTCCAAGAGACTTACTCAGAGACACTACCTGAATCCTGAATCCCGGTTCTTCTTTGGCTCTATCACTCCCCTCCAAACCAGTATAAAAATTAAATTTCTCTATCCAAATTAAACTCTAATTTGCCTCTAAGTGTGATAATTGTACCTCAGACATGGACAATAGAAACCTTTTCATTTGTCTAACTGTGCTGGTAGCAGGGCTCTTGGTGATCTCTGAATATCAATTTAATTTTCTCCCATTAATTGTGCCATCATTTAGAAATTTGTGTTTTCCCTCTTGGTACTTAATGTTTTAATTTACAATTTATTATTTTATTATATTTATAAAACTTTTCCAGTTTTATAAAGTAAGTAAAGCTTATTAAAAATAAAAATAGAGGGAAATGCATTGCAACTCATTTCATGTTTCTGGGACTGTTTTAATGAAAATAAATTATAAATTAAGCAATTGTTCTGGAAACTATTCTGTATGCTTACCTGAAATTATTTGTTTCTTCTACAAATTCCATCTCCTTTCCTTCAACCATAATTTTGAAACAACTGATGTAAGAAATTTGGAAGAAACAGCCTACCTACTGACTGGCCACACTCCTAAACAGAACAACATAAAACTAATAATGTTCATACACTATTTAACAAAACAAATACAAACAAATAAAAAGCAGTATCCACAGGTATTTCCAAAAAACAATTTTTAAATAAATTAAATTAGACTCTTTACTACTCCCACAGAAATCTGTGAATGTTTTGGGATTTCAAACTTATTTATTGCTGGGTAGCATGGGGAAAATGCCCCAGAGACTAGGGGAGAGACAACTATTTCCAAGTGGGTAGAGGCAGGGAAAAGAAGCAAAGCAAATGATGCTGTATCTATCTAAAGACAAGAAGCCTAAGGAAAGAGGGAAAGGGTATCTAAAACAGATCCCACCTACTCCCAACTCTCTGACATAAATACACAAAATTTGCTTCTGTGTTCTATGTAATCAGCAGTCTGGCTCCACTTTATTTATTACTAAGGATGTACAACCAAGTGTGAAGGCTAAAAATAAGTATTTTCTGGAAACACACAAAGGGACACAACAGTGGGGAAGTTTTGCTCACACAGAGGTTGGTATTGGGCAAATGATAGGCGCAAACCCCAGGTCTATGTAACTAAATTTAAGAGTTACACTTAAAGGGGAAATGGAAAATTTACTACAATGTGTAAATAGTGATTATTTAGGTGATAGAGTTACATCTGATTTTTAAATTTCACATTTATAACATTAATAAGCCTCAACTTTCCTAGGCCATATGTACAGTAATTATAATACATACAATAAATTATATTTAATTTTAGTATCATATATAATAATCATAATATAAATGTATTTGCCTATGTGTGGGTGTGTGCATTCCTTTAGAAAAGCAGTTTCCAGGTGCTTTAAGCACGCATCCTCTGGTAAAGATACAATTGTACATAATTTAAGCAATCATAGCTCCAGGCCTTGACTGTTTTATTACACATTGCTAATCCTGCTGTCCTAGAGCTGAGTGGTATTTTCAAAGCAAGGCACACTCAATTAGTGGAGTGGGTGATGTTTAAAAAGAGAGTGCTTTGAGGTTGTTGCTTTGTTTTGTTTTGTTTTCTCAATTTCGAATCTTGAGTTTTCGCTAAGGAAAACGATTGCACATTTTTTTCTGAAAGAAACAGAGATAATTTTGGTTTTCCCATCATAAAATGGTTCAAGACAGCATAGTCTTTTCCTTTGTACTCTTGGTGTGTTCTGAAAATGAGGTGCAATCCGCAAAACCGCCCCGGGGCCTTGGAAACAGATTGGAATCCAAGCCCAGCTCCGCCCTTTATTAGCTGTGCGATCTAAGCGCTCGGGACCTCATTTCGCCCTCCGTAAAATGGAGGTGAGGATGTCTTCCCACCACATGGCTCCTCTGAGAACCGGGGTCACACCTGCACATACTGTTAGCACTGTGCCTGGCACCCCACTGGGGCCAATAAAATAAGAACCAGTGGATTCTCAGAATGCAGAAGGACCTGTGGGGCCACGTCCCCCTTGTCAGTGGTCGCCAAGCTGGAATTTCTCAGCGAGAGACTCTCCAGGAGAGGTGGCTGCGGCCTCTGCCCGAGCGGGCGTTGGGTCTGGGGGCCGCGGGCACGGACCCCTGCGCGGAATCCTAAGGCCAAGGCTTCCTCCCGCCCGGCGTTCACAAATTTCGGTGGCCAGAGTGCTAACCAAGACAAGACGAACAAGCGAAGAACACGGACGGAAAAACAAAAACAAAACACAATCCCACTGAGACAGCGACTAGTGTCTTAAGGAGAGGAATTCCCGGAAGGCAAGCACATAGTTTCTTTTTCTGTGCTGGTTTAAGAAAGTAAACAAACATCCAGGGGGAGCATTGGGCCCAAGATAACTTTGAAAAAGAAGAAAGAAAGGCTGTCTCGCGCAGTCTGGGTATAACAACCGCCTAGGGCTGACTTCGTTGGAGAACTGTGGCAAACAGCAAGGACTCCAAGACGAGGGTTTCCTCGGCCCCCACCCCCGGCCTCGCGGGCTCACCCCACCCCCAACCACCCACACCCCCACGGCGGATCTTTGGCTTGACCTGCTAGGACAAGTGCAGAAGAGCCGCTTCCGTCTCGGGCTGGGGTCCTCCAGCGACCCCAAAGCTTCCCAGGCCCGGCCCGCAGTCCCTGGTTGCTCCTGCACCCACCCACTCCTAGCGCACTCTGGTCTCCAGAGAGCTGGCTCTGCCCCCTGCCCCGCCGGGTCAGCACTTCGCATCAAGCCCCGAGCAAAGCCACTTCTCCCCCACGCCGGAGAGAAAGTCTCCTCTGCCCTCCGTCTGGAGCCTGTGTGTCCAACACCCGCAGCGCCGGTCCCCGCAGCAGCCCGGAGCTCGTCCCGCGGCCGCCCCCACCGCCTGTGGCCCGAGTGAGGCAGGGAGACGTCTCCTTGGCTCCCCGGGCGTTAGAGGGCTCACCCCAAGAAGAAGAACCCAGGTCCTGGGCATGGCTGTGGAGCAACCCGCGGAGATGAAAGAGCCTCTCCAACTCTGAGCCGAGTGACTCACCCCGGGAGAAGTGTCACCCGCCGGCCACACCTCCAGCTCCTTGGTGTGTCTTCTGCCAGGCCAACACCTGGACTCATGCAAAGTTTATTTTCAAACGCTTCCCTCTCTCTGCAGACGCGTCTTTGAAATACCAGTGTGCTCTGCCCAGAGACCTTATTGACTTCACCAAAAGCCCCAGGCTCAGGAGGAAGCTTTGCGGGGAACGCCGGGGTGGGGAGGGCTCCCTTGATTCAGCAACTTGGCCAGCTCAGGGGAGGAGGGGTGGGGAAGGAGTCAGGGTTTGCTGCACAAGGGGCATTCCCCTTCTGCAGGCGGCTGCTGCCACGCTTGGATTGGGTGAGGATCCTGAGAGGCGGGCGGATTGCTGTCCTTCCTCTGCGGCGGCTGCAGTTCAACCAGGGAAGGCTGGGCAGGGCTTGGACCCAGCCCTGGTGCTCAGAGCCCAAATGTCCTGCGGAGTGCAGAGCCTGGGCCAGTCGCTGGACACATTAAGAGGAAGCCCGCTCCTTCACTGGGCTCCCTGGCCTGTGGCTGTGACAGGAAATGCTCACAGGAACCCCTCAATAGTGTATGAAGCAGCAATCCTCTTATAGAAAGGCAAGGCATAGTGCCATGAGATTCTTTTTTTATTTTATTTTTTTTAGTAGCATGTATTTGTCCTACATACTGATTACATTCATCATAGGGAATTTGTACCTGTACATATGAGCCATGAGATTCTGAAGAGGGAGATCCTGTCAGATTATGTTTCTCAAAAAGAGAACAAAGCTACTTATGACAAATCAAAAAGTCCCAGCTGTATTAAACGGTCACAATTACTTCCTTTCCTTTGTTACTCACTATTTCCTGACTATTTTTCTTTGAAAAAAAAATCTTATAATTCTCAGTACTGCTGAAAGCCACTATTGTTTTCGAAAGATAGGTATCGCTTTAGATAGTTTTGCATGCCTGTTACAGAAGGTGAGTTTTTATGATAATATCAGCAATAAGCCTGAGTCTGGAGGCAGTTTGTTGACTCCACCATTGTTGACTTCAGTATTTCTGTGCATTGTCCACCACGCTCTGCACCTCCCACTTCTGCCTGGCTCCCTCAGAGTTGGACACAACTCATTAAGCAACCCCACCCCCTTCCCCTCCCCACTCACCAGCCCCTGGCCCACTCCATTCTTCAGGCATTGCCTTGTGGAAGTCTGTTCAGGCCCACAAATTTGGGGTAGGTCCCCCTCCTTAGTGGTTTCACTCACCCTAGGTTTTGCATCTGTCACTGTACTTACCACCCAGGCTTGAACACATTGATTTACTTGTTCCTGGCTTCCCTTCCAGGGAAGAGCCAGGGAGAAGAGCCAGGGAGAAGAGCCTGGCTGTGACCACCTTATTCACAGCCTGGGGATGTAATCTGCACAAAGAGTGGGAAAGAGAGGATGGTACATGGCACCCTCTGTATTACCTTCTTAACTTTTCTATAAATCTAAAACTAGTTCAAAAGTGACAAGTCCATTTGAATGTTAACATACCTGAAAAGAGGGAAGGAATGGGAGGAAAGGGGGAAAGGGAAGAGAGACAGAAAGAAATGGCAGTTGACAAAATCAACATCTCTTAAAGATGAATTATGAGCCAGAACTTTCACAAATGGATCATCCTTACTTAATGCTAGTCATATGGCCAAGAGAACAGTTGTTAACTTTACAGATAAAGAACTGTAGTCAATACTATCTAGAATATATAAAGAATTGAAAAATATCAGAACCCCCAAATTCAAAGACCCAATTCAAAACTGGCATCTGAAATAAAAAGACATTTCTCAGACAAAGAAGTAAAAGCAGCAAACAAATACATGAAAAAATGTTCAACATCATTCGTCATTTGAGAGATGCAGATGAAAACAACACTGAGATTCCACCTCACCCCAGAAAGAATGGCTGCTATCAAGAAATCAACCAATAACAAATGCTGGTGGGGTTGTGGGTTACTTCTCCATTGTTGGTGGGAGAGCAGACTGGTGCAACCACTGTGGCAGTCAGTATGGAGATACCTCAAAGAACTAGGACTAGAGGTCCCATTTGACCATCTATTCCCCTGCTGGGTATCTTCCCAAAAGAATTAAAAGAATCATACCACAGTGATATATGTGCACCCATGTTCATAGTGGCACAGTTTGTAATAGCTAAAGCTTGGAAGCAGCCCAAGTGCCCATCAACTGGAAACTGAATAAAGAAAATGTGGGTTTTCTTATAAAATGGAGTACTACTCAGCCATAAAGAATGAAAAACGAGTCATTTATAGCTAAATGGGTGCATATCGAGGCCATACTCTTAAGTGAAATAAATAGGACACACATGTGTAAATACCGAATAGTTTCTTTAGTGTGAGAAACTGATAGTGTAAACAAGAGTTAAAATGATAAAAATTAATAATTGATAATTTGAAATAGGAAAAAAGGTCCAAAGACAAAGGCGTGAAGGGATGGGAGGAGGAAAGGAAAAGAGGGAAAGGAAAAACTATGAGAAAAGAAAAAAAAATGGAAATGAAATCTATGTCAATAGGGAAGAGTGGAGGGGGTGAAGGGCACACAGGTAATGGGGAAAAAAATAAGAATCAAGATGCATCATGTACAGGTACAAGCACCCAATGATAAATGTAAATGAATTGTATACCTAAAATGTACCAATAAAATTAATTTAAAAATTAAAAAAGAAGAACTGTAGTCAAAAACAGTTTAAGCAACATTGGCAAAATTGGCTAATTAATAAATAGCAGAGTCTGGAATTGAAATAGATATTCATGTTCTCTGGGCTTTGCTCTCTCTACTTCCCCTCCCCTCCCACCCACACCTGATTACCCAGCAAGTTCAATGAAATAGGCAGTGGTATTTTATATATAAAAGTGTTTCATAATCAAATGGTTTTAGAAAATTCTGGGTTAATTTAATTTAAACAAATGTCTTAATCCATGATGTCTCAGAGCTTTGGATATGTATGTGGGCTGGGAAAAGGGGACAGGGCCAATATTCAGGTTGGAGTAAATCTTGGGACCTTTGCTAGAGACACTGGGACATGAACCCTTTTCCTCTCCACTGAATTTGAAGGAGAAATATATGTGTGAGATATGGAACTGATGTAGTTGGTTATGAAGGGAGCTGGTAGATTTGCCAGGGCTAGAAGCAAAGTCTATTCACCCTGAGAGGAAGCCACGGGAGAGATGGAGCCTTGCCTGACTCCTGGGTAGCTGTGGTACTGAAACTGAAACTTGGAATGCCCAATTTATTGAATTCTCAGTTTTTGATTAATCCAAATTCTTACAATTAAAAGGATCTCAGCTGGTGCATCATTATGAGAGAGGAGACCTCCCCTCCATATGGAGTTGGGCAACTATGAATTAACTATGTCATTAGGCAACTATGAGTTAACTACAAATGCTTTTTGTAGAATGCATCTGAACCATCATGACAACTTGTATAATCTGGCACCAAAGGAGCATAACGGACTCAAGAAAGTCCTGACAGAATTCTTTCCTCTCCCCTTCTCCACTGCTTTGTGTGAATCCTGCTTACTATATTTCCAGGGAAACCCTAACGGAATTAAGCCTCGTAGACTTAAAAAGAGGTATATATAAGGAACCGCAGACTTCTATTCGGGACTCTGGAGATTCACAGGAGCCACTCTCTGAGCCACCAGCATGATTAAAAGCCACTTTTTGCTCCTATCTTCATGTTAAAGAATTATCTGTGCCAGGGTCCTGTTTCCTGCTTCAGTCAGAACTTATGATCAGCATTAGAAAAATTCTTTGATAGCAAAATTAATTGCTACAAGTTAGCTAGTTTAGTTTTAAGTTCAAATGAGAATAATTGCCTACACAGACTTAAATAGACAGTGACTATGTAGGGACATTAGTCTTACTAAAAATTTTTCTGTCACTAGAGGGCATCAGAACCCATATTGACTAAAGAAATGGAATTTTCTAGTAATTAGTAGCAATATATTTAGGTTTTTGGAAAAGGAAGAAAGAGAAGGCAGGGCTTTGATTTAATAAATAATCTGTGATCATGATCATATGGACATTTTCATCTCGGAGAGAATATATTATTTATGTTTAAGGGTTAAAGAAATGTGTGCAAAGCACTTAGCACACTCATTAAATACTAGTTACTGTTTTCACACTGCTCTTCCTAATTAGGTACCTTCACTGGATAAGTTGTTAATTTCTGGTCACAGTTCATATAGAAAGAAAGGAAAGGTAAGTGGCTCATAACCTCTTTCCTAAGCTGCCTCCTATATAAGCACGTTCCTGTGCCCCAAGGATAGCCTAGCTCAGGGAAAAGTGCCTTGGAGCCTGGCTGACCATGGCCGAAATAAGTGGCCACAGCAATGTGGAGCAGGCTATGGTATCTTCCAATTTGTGCCTCCAGGAAACTGGTGGTATGCTAACTTACCTACCTCTTGAGCAATCACCTGAAAAAGACGATGTATAAATTAGGATGCAGATCTGATTTAGGTCAGCAGTGGGTTCAGTGGTAGAGAAAATAGCTATTCAACAGGCCCTAGTTTTATCAACCAAGTGAGCACACCTCCCTCACTGTTTCTCCATATAGGAGTACACTGAAAACATAGATATTCCATGATTGTGTAGGTGACCAGAGATAGGGACCAGTTTTCAAGAAGTGTTGATCTGGAGCAGATGAGATTTAGTCCTGAGTAGGGTAGCTGAAGACAATGTTTCATAAACTTCAGTCATCCTTTTGCTTTTCTGTGACTCACTTGTATATATTAAATATATCTCTAAGTAATATGTATTTTTAAAATCAACTTTGTTGCATCAATCATTTTATTTTTAAAATAAAACATTGCATTACAACCATAAATGGAGAATCAACATTCCTTGCCCAAAATAAAACGTATCTGTAAAGATAAATGCAAAACTATTGAAATAAAATATTTGCCTGCATACCAGTAAAACTTGTTTCCCAAACCACCACCAGGGCATTATAGTTCCAGAAAGATTGGTAGTGCCTTCTCTTTGCTTTAGTCTTTTCCATATCCCCAATTGCCCTCCCCCAAGAGACTGGAG